GCCAGTATATTTACTGTTAAAAATTTCTCGAGGTATTTGCGCTTTTTTTAAATTTCGTTGCGCAAATAATTTTTATATGTAAATTTTTCCCATCGCTGCATGTATATACATAAATATGTATGCAAACATGTGCCACATACATAACTGTGCATGCAATTATTCATTTTTGTAGTCAATCACCTCAAAAACAAAAACCTGAATGTTAGGCATGTCGCAATTAAAATAATTAAAAGTTTTGTTACGTGCTCGTGCGGAAAATACCATGCCAGCGTTTAAATTAAATTTCTTAATCGAGCTTATCTGCAGATAAAGTGAGGAAATTAGATAAAAAAAAGGCGGGCTGTATTTAGTGTTCAGAGCTACTTGTTTGTATGCGCACATGTGTTTTTTTTCTATTTGTTAACATACATACATACATACTTTACTATATACCTGTTTATTTACCTCAACGATGTAACCCAAACCGAGGCGAACAGCCTCACCGTCAGCCACCCAATGCGGTGGAACGCTCTCAAATTACCGCATAAACATTAACTTGTAGTAATCGTAGCTCTGTATTGTACGATTGATTACTTGAACCACCCAGCGAAGGTCTGCAAGTAGCCCTTTGTACCCCCCGCTCGTCTCTTCTAAATGACCTACTAATTGTTATTTGACAATCATTATTTGTTTTTATTTGACAATTACTTTATTCAATATCTATACAGATATATGTATTTGCTGGGGCAAACAAATATTTGTTTGTGAAATAAGCAGCCGCAGAAGATTCCCGCGTTCGCTTGTCAGCCATTAGGTTTGATTCTTTATGTCAAGGCAAAAGTGTATTCTGTGGACAATTGAAATGCATTGAAGCGATCGACGGCGTTTGACGATTGACGATCGACGATTGACGATCGAGTTTCTAGTAAACAATCAATAATTTGAAAGGCCACACTGAATGGCAGTCAATTTTCTCTATTCGAATTGTAAAGACATACAATTTTAGATTTAATTTCGTACATAGTACATACATACATATATATCCATGTACCTACGAGTGTACACATCTCATTTTAGGTATTAGTGCCGACGGTAATACTTGGACACATCAGGGTGTAGGAGTATTCTGCTTGAAACTCTAAGCTAATTTTCCGTAGAAACCATGGGTCTAAAATCAATTCCGAACGCTCCAAACTAACAAAATATATTTTTTTGCTTAGCAACGGTTTATTTTGTTTTGAATTTTTTATAAAATAATGCTTTAAAACATTTTTTGATATGAGGACTGCATTTCTAGTTTTTAAAAAAAAAATATATATTTTAATTTTCTTAAAATTTGCTTTTCATATTCATTTAAAAATTTTAAGAAATACAATTTTTTTACCATTTTATCTAAAATTTGTATTCCATCAAATTAATTTATTGTGTCCAGAGCTGATTATGGTGCTGGGTACAATGTAGTCGTCTACATGGTATTAAGCATAACAATTTTGTAAATTCCACGCACTCTCGTCACGGGACTTTACCGACTCGGAAGCTCCAAATTGATTTTAAACCCATAGGTTCTTCGGAAAATACTCTTGCAATATCACGTAGAATACTCCTAAGCCATACCCGCATAGTCGAATAAAAAACTCCGTTACAAATTGACCCGCCTTAATGTACATACATTCATAAATACATACATATACATACATATGTGTACAATCACTGCTAGACTTTTCTAAGCGTAAAAAATCGCTTTACTTTCTGTGGTTTCGAATTTCACAAAATAAAATCATCAAAAAAAAATAAATAAAAATCAAACACAAAAACAAAATTAATACCTGCAACGGAGAGAATGTCATTCCATCATCGCTCAGCTGCATTGTTCATTTGATAGCTTTCAACGCGTGACAATTGTTACATTTGTTAAGTGTGTTTTTAGTGCAATTAAACATAAATCTAATTAAATGTGTGGTATAAATGTGTGCTTTTCGAATTCAGGTGTTCGTATGTAAGTACATATATAGAAACTCTGCAATGCTTATTCTAAGTGCTTGCCCAAATGAGTACAGCGAAGCATATGTTGGTATGTACATATATACCCGGCAGGAAATTTTTCTGATACCAATGGGTTTGAATTTCTAGTAAATTTATAATATTGAAAATTGTAAATTTTTCATAGCAGAGGTCTTCTTATAAGGTCAAACTTTTGCAGATGACTTGACCAATTTCTCTAACCTTTGATGAATTTATTGATTCTCACGGCTCAAATCATTGATACCAAGTTGAGAACTATGTAGTATTTTTCTGTTTCTAGCGACACAACTTTTTCATACAAAAAATATTCCATTTTTGGTTGGGAATTTATGTTTCTTAAGTATAGATTTAGTTCAGCCAGAATTTTAGAGATTTTCGACAGACTTCAGCTATCTACTTAAGCTCAAGTCGTTCTCGAGGCTAAATATTTACAGGAATGTAATTAGTTTTTATTAATTAATTCGTTTTAATTTAAACCAAAATTTTTAGTCTCAATATTTGCTGCCATTTTGCTGTCTGCAGAAGGTGAATGTGATTTTTATAACTGGGTAAGAACTATTGAGGAAGGTTTGCGAAGTATATATGTATATCAGTCCAAATTTGCTGAATTGCTCACTTCAAAAAGTCGAAAAATGTCACACGGCTAAGAAAAAAGAAAAAAGAAAAAAGAAATAAGAAAAAAGAAAAAGCATTTCCAACTTCACATTCCCTACAGGGTTCGTAGTCAAGCATATCTACATATACTGTACTATAAATGGTTATTTTTTAGTTATGGAAAGCTACATTTAAAACACGCATGATGTAAAGCTACTCATAAATAATTCTTGGAATTTTACAGTATTACTAAGTATTGTTTTCTAAATAGAAAAAAAATCATATAGGTATTATTACTATGCGTATTGTAGATAAACATGTACGGTCACTTGTTTGCAACAAACCGGATATTGTAATAGAGATAAAAGCAAATCATATTTTTTTCAAAGTCCTCTTTGTGTGTGATAAAAACAAAAACAAGACATAAATTTTGTTCAGCAACGACATCTTCTATGCACAAACACGAACATAGGTAAATATATATGTATATATGTAAATTAGGGTGGCACAAAATGGCACAGGAAAATCAACTTTGAAATTTTCCTTTTGCCAACCCTCAAAACTGAAAAACATCGAAAATAAGGAGACCCTTTTTTACTTGAAAATCAGCAATTTTTCCAGCATTGCTCGTACAATATATGGGAAATTTCAAAGGCCAGCCGGCACGCTTAAATATTAACCGGTTTCAAAATAAAAAAATACAAGTTGGACCACCGTAATGTGCAAATTAATTTTACCTACATACTTTTACCAGTTGACAAATCAGTCAGAGCCAAAATATATTCCATGGGATAAGCTTTCCAAAACTTTGAATAAATTTCACATCAGTAACGACCAGAGAGAGCTTTTACTAAGTGTGCGCTAATTTAAAATCTATAGAAAGACTTAAAAAGTTTCTTTCGGTAGAAATGTTTTGGTAGTGACTGTTTTACATTTCACATATCTGATGGGAAGAGCTTTTAAAAACGTTTCATGTCAGAGAGAGCTTTTACCTTGTGTACATCCCTAAAAAATTTAAACAAGCAAAGAATAAAAGCTCTCTCTCTCTTGAAATCAGTCACAATCAAAGCATATCCTGCGGTGGAAGCCTTTTAAAACTTTATATAAGTTTTATGTGGACGCACAAAGTGTAAAAGCTTTCTCTGATCGTCGCTGCTCTAAACAAACGCTTTAAGCAAAGGTTTTAAAATAGGACTTTCTTTTTTAGGGGCTGTGTGGGAAGATATGAAGTCTTTTGACAACGATATATGTTAATAAATGAAGATTTTTCTCGACAAAAAGTTGTTCGGCAATTTCATGAATATTTTATAATGCGAACCGTAAAATAAGTAAAAGTTATGTTAGACCACATTGACATAGACATACCAGACAGACAGACAGGTCTGATGCACAGGAGAACACAGACGGCAACGATCGAACAAATAGCCAGCGAACAACCTAATGAAAAAATATGGAAACATAACCTGGCGTGTGGAGGGCCCCTCTTGTATGTCTTTTAGAAGAATAACTAAGTTCCCCAAAAGATGCCGATCTCTGGTGTACAGTTTATAAACCTTCACCTCCCAGCTTGTCGGTGACCCTTTTTCCTTGGATTTCCATATTGAAGACCTGTGCTAGTTTTTTTTTATCGTTTACTGTAAGGAGCTTGAATTTCCCGCCTATTAATCGCCACAGAGACCACTTGAGAAAAGGGCAAAGCAAATCTTTGCTGGCAGCGCTAATAGGGGTCCATGTAAGGAAACTAGTAAAACGCAATGGACCCGACTAGAGATCTGTCACAAAGTCGCACTACAGACCATCACAGAGTGTCTTCTCATAACGCATAGTAAGGCCCAGATGCTGCCTGTCAAGGAGTATAACAACAGGCTCTGTAGGCATTTTCTGCTGGGAGGCTACCACAGGAAGCACCCCAGCACCTCACATTAGGGGGCACCTTCGCGACTATACTAACAAAGTCCGATCTTACACAAGACAACTATTGGACACGATCGGCTACC